AATATTCTAATAAAGTTTTCCAGGTTCACCCTAATTTATTTTGTGGATCTGCTAGTTTAGAAGCATTTTATTTTCCCTTTTATTAATCACGTAGATATACTTTCATGTTAGATGCACTTGCATTTTTCCTGGAGCACTGTCCTCTAGGTCATCTCCCTTGGTCTGTCCAGTGTGGCTGCCAGTTCATAGATATCTGCTGGGCTGAGTTCAGCTGAACAGGATTGAATCCTGAGCACTTGTGCAACATGAGACTAAACTTCACTATTAAAGGCCTTTCAAATCCCAGCTGTGTCACCAACCTGCTGCGCGGCTTTAAACAAGTCAATGAACCTCTGCACCCTAGCTTTCTCATTGATAAAGTAGGGATCACGATGGTACTTCCTTTATGAGGCTTGACAGTTAAGAGATAATAAGTGCTAAACACTTAGAACAGTGCTGGGCATATGAGTGCCTGGCAAAAGTTAGCTATTAAGAACAGAGAAAAAAACCTGATGAAAATGAATCACTTTGAAACAAGGCTTTTAATATTCTTACAGACAATGCCCATCTGACTCTTACCTCAGTGGATCAGGTTGTCTGCAAGGAGAGCAGCCTGCTCAAGGTATACTCCGTAGGGGAGATGGAATTCTCCCTTCTCTCTTGTACCATTCAAAGGCCTGGCACTTTTCCATAATCAAACTGCAATGGAACAGAGAGTGGTCTTTCTACCTCCACCTGCTCAGACTGGTTAACTTCAGCTCGAAGGGAAAACACTCTTGATAGCACATTTTAACTTCGGGTTCTTCCCTAGAGCTTTGCCTCGTTTTCCACTAACTAGTGAATGCATCTTGCAGACTTGGTACCAAAAAAAAGACACGATTGAGTGACACTAAACCAGAAATAGTAGCCAAGATGGGCTGCCTGCCAGTGAAAATCTCTTTTAGAGATTCCTGCACCTGATGACCATGCTGCTGAGGGATGGCACTGAGTCGTTGGCTTTGTTTCCCTTTGCTAGGAGCTGCCCCATGTGATATGCAGCATATCTATTTTATTTACATCTGAATCTGTTGGAAGAGGTTATTAATTTACTTGAAGTTTGAATTTCTTTAAGGAGAAAACCTAAAACTAAGGATCTGAAGACTTCTGACTAGCAAGAACATGGCTGTCATCTGTCCCTCTAACTGTCTTTTCTATCAACCACATGTGATGGGTCGGATTAATTATTGGAAGATGACTGAGTTCATTTTATAGCTCAAACGAGCATTTTCCATTTCCTATAATAAACATCTTGTAACGTAAGTAAACAAATAGTTTTCTAAAACAAGCATGGTTTACAAGTAAAAGTGGCTAAATTTTCACTTTTACAAATTTTGCTGCTTTTCACTATCAATAAACCTAGTGTCTTCATCTGCTCAGGCTGCCATAACAAAATACTACAGACTGACTGGATTAAGCAACAGACATTTGTTGATCACAGTTCTGGAGGCTGGAAGCCCAAGATCAGGGCACTGGTGTGGTCAGGTCTGATGAGGACTCTCCTCCTGGCTTGCAGACAGCCGCCTGCTTGCTGTGTCCTCACATGGCAGAGAAAGAGCAAGCTCTCTGCTCTCTTCTTATAAGGGCACTAATACCATCATGAGCACTCCATCCTCATGACCTCATAAGTGCCTCTCGAAGGCCCTGTCTCCAAATCCCATCATATTGTGTGTTAGGGCTTCAACACATGAATTTAGTGGAGGGAATAATTCAGCTGATAGCACCTAGGAAGATAGACAAGAGATTTTGCATACTTTAATCTTAAAAATACTTTTGCCTCAATTGGCTCTTTGTTCAGTTGTTCTTAGATCAGCACAATATTAATAATTAATAATCTTTTCATTTAATTTTTCACTGATAATATCAGTTTCTAACCCACATTTTTGGATTTCATAGGTTTCTTATTAAATACAATTGTTATGCACACTTTTTTTTTTTTGTGAGGAGAACTAGCCCTGAGCTAACATCCATTGCCAATCCTCCTCTTTTTGCTGAAGAAGACTGGCCCTGGGCTAACATCTGTGCCCATCTTCCTCTACTTCGTATGGGATGCTGCCACAGCATGGCTTGACAAGCTGTGTGTCTCTGCGCTCCTGGGATCTGAACCTGCAAACCCCGGGCCACAGAAGCAGAGCATGCACACTTAACTGCTATGCCACCAGGCCAGCCCTGCACATTTCTTTAAGAAGGTCGGTCTAAGAGGAAATCAAGTCTTGTCATTTTGGATTCATACACTAATTCCTATAGGGCCATTACAAATATGGTGGAAAACCCTGTCACCTTTTTCTGGAAGCTGCTGTTATTATGTAGAGGAATTTAGGAGCAGGAATTGTCCTTAACATTAAAGTGCTAGCAAGGGAGGTTTGCACAGTCAGGGCTGGAAACCCATTGATAGTCTCCCCTGCTTTAAGATTACAGATTTAAGCTACAGATTAACTTGTAGCTGCATCATCAGTTAGCTGGATAGGAACTGAAGGGGGAAATATTAACTATTTACAGATAGTCTCTGGAATTTGGGTCTCCAGGTCCAGGGCTGGTTTGCTTTGGGATGTTTGTGTGTTAGAAGTTTGTTTTCAGACTATACTGGTTTGCTTAGGCTGCCATAATAAAATATCACAGACCGGGTAACTTAAAAACAGAAATTTATTTTTTCACAATTCTGGAGGCTAAGAGTCCAAGATCAAGGTGTCAGAATGTTTCTCCTGAGGCCTCTCCCTGGCTTATAGAGGGCCACCCTCTTGCTGCTGCTTCACATGTTCTTTTCTGTATTCCTGGTGTCTCCACCATTTCTTATAAGGACAGCAGTCATATTGGATCGGGGCCTCACCCTTAGGATCTCATTTAACCTTAATTACCTCTTTAAAGGCCCTAGCTCCAAATGCAGTCACAATGGGGTTGAGGCTCCAACACAGGAATTTTGAGGGAACACAATTCAGTCCATAACAGAGGTTTACTCCCTTAATCTCAAGACATAAACTGACAGCATTGTTTGATCAAAATCTTACTTCAGGGCCAGCCCTGTAGCCTAGTGGTTAAGTTCAGCATGCTTTGCTTCGGTGGCCCAGTTTAAGTTCCCAGGTGTGGACCTGCACCACTCATCTGTGGCTGTGCTGTGGTGGTGACCCACATACAAAATGGAGGACGGTTGGCACAGATGTTAGCTCACGGCGACTCTTCCTCAGATTAAAAAAATCTTAGTTCACCTTACACCTCCTTAGAAATTCTACAGGTTTAATTTATGTGAAAGTCTGGGAAACTTACAAACTCTTTCCAGGGTTCATCTGCAGAGACCCTCAAATAACCATTGTCAGATGGAACCCAAAGATGGCAAAAAGATACAGAATCAGTCTTTCTTAAAATGAACTTATAACTCAGTCTCTGAATCCTCCAGTCTTGTTAAAATTCCTCTATTTGACTCCATAGAAAATCCTGATTGTCGGTACACAGTTTGTTTCCACAGGTACATCAACATTGCAGGTGACTGTGGACCCAGCCATCAGATGCATAGCTGAGGTACTAAATGCTCAGTGCACATGGAAGCCAACTTCACCACTCTTTTCTAAGGAAGATACAGAGATGGACGAGAATAGTGTGGTTTTTTTCTTAGCTTGTAATTTAAATTATTTATTTATATCACAAAGTTTAAACCACATACAAAAGCATAAGAAAAAAGTGAATATCATTCAAAATTCTATCATCCAGAGATAAATATTCTTAAAATGTTGATAAACAGTATCTCACACATATTTCTAGGAATCTGTACTTATAGATATATGCATTAAATTTACATAAGTGGATTATTGCTTTATATCTATTCTTCAATGCCTTATTTTCACAGAAAAAATGTGATTTTGAGAAGTTTCATGTTAATAAATATAACAATCAATATAGATCTATAAACTTTTAAACATTTATTTAGTATTTTATTGTGTGTGTATATATATATATATATTTTTTTTTTGCTGAGGAAGATTTGCCCTGGGCTAACATCCATGCCCATCTTCCCCTACTTTATATGTGGGACACCTTCCACAGCATGGCTTGACAAGCCATGCATTGGTACACGACCAGGATCCGAACCTGTGAACCCCAGGCCGCCAAAGCAGAGCATGTGCACTTAACCACTATGCCACCGGGCCAGCTCCTGTGTTCTTTTTCCTCTTTAATCTTTGGTATATGTGAAACTTATGATGTAAGGAATGAGGTAGGATCAAGTCTTAGGAACATTTCTTGACTAGTCTGTCTTTTCACCACACTTCTCACAAAGGCAGGAGTACATTTTAATATTTAAGAGCATGGACTTTATTGTTAGACACACCAGGGTTTGGGTCCCAAGTTGGGCCCCCTACAGGCTATGTGACTTAGGGTAAGTTACTTTTCCTTTCTGTGTTTCAGTTTCTTCATGTAAAGTGGGGATAATATTAATAGCTGCCTCATATAGTTGTTGTGAGGTTAAAATAAGAAAGTTCATATGAAGTGCTCATCAAAAAGTCCAATAATAAATGATCAATACATTTATTAATTATTAATAGCTATTATTAACATTAGTGTCTAAACTCCCTCGTATACTTAGATCTCTAGTGTAGTTATTAAAAGCAAGGGCTTTGGAACCAGAATACTAGGGATCAAAAACCTTTCACCAAGGGAGTAACATCAGCATCATGGTGGAGTGAGATGTTCCCTTTGTCTCTCCCCTCTAAATTACAACCAAACAGACATCCATTAACAGAGGATCCCCCATACAGCACAACAGGAAGCTTAAGACATCCAGGCAGCTATACATCTGAATGTGGGTGGACTGGACCCCCAGGAAGCAGTGGAACTAGGGGAGCAGCCCGCACCCCCAACCGCAGCTGCAGTGGTCTAGGAGGTGGTTCCTCATGCAGTGGCCAGTGTGGCAATCCTGAGTGTGAGTGCACACCTGGGAGGTGGCAGCAGTGGCTGGCAGCAGTCCTGCATGCACTTGAACACCGGGGGATGGCACAATGGCTGGTGAACACTCGAGCCGCAGCAGCAGCAGCATGGCAGCAGCCCCACCCCACGATGGTCAGTGGAGCTGTGGGAGAGGCAGTGGCCCGATCTGCACAGTTGCAAGCAGACAGGGCAAGAGCACCCAGACACCAGTGGTGGCACCCCTGACACCAACTCCACCAGTGGTGGGGGCTGCATACAAGTTCCAAGATCCCTAGGCTTCCACCAGTAACAGTGACACCTGTGAACCCAGAGCACTGGCAGTGGCGCAACCAGCACCCCCAGACAACTGAGGAACAGCAACACAGGTGGTGCATGGGACAACAACATCTGAGGCCATGGAGAGCCAGTGGAGGAACACAAGTCCCAGGCAACCAGAACCAAGGTAACCAAAGGCATACCCCCAAAAGAGAAGGTGATTACTACCACAAATGTGCCAGCAGAGGGTCAATTCATCAAACACCATGAAGAAGTACAGCAACACTGCAAGATAGAAGTAAAATGACAACTCTCTAGAAACCAAATCTGAAGTCACAAAAGTTTACAATCTAACTGACAGAGAATTCAAAATAGCTGTCATAAAGAAACTCAATGACCTACAAGAAAACTCAGAAGGACAGTTTAATGAGATCAAGAATAAAATTAAGGAACAGAAGGAATACTTCAGCAAAGAGATTGATGCTCTAAAAACAAACCCAAACAGAAATGCTGGAGATGAACACAATTAATGAGATAAAAAATAATATAGAAAGCATAAAAAATAGAGCAGACCTTATGGAGGAAAGAATTAGTGTGCTCGAAGATAGAAACCTAGAAATATTTCATGTGGAGGAGGAGAGAGAAATAAGTTTCAAAAACATGAAGAAATCCTTAGAGAAATATCTGACTTAATTATGAAAATTAACATAAGGATTATAGGTGTCCCAGAGGGAAAAGAGTGGGAGAATGGAGCAGAAAGCTTATTCAAAGAAATAATAGTGGAGAACTTCCCAAATTTGGAGAAGGAACTTGACATACAAGTACATGAAGCTAATAGAACTCCTAATTACATCAATCCAAAAAGACCTTCTCCAAGGCATATAATATTAAAACTGTCAAAAGTCACTGACAAAGAAAAAATATTAAGGGCAACAAGAGAGAAGAAAATAACATACAAAGGAACTCCCATCAGGCTTTCAGTGATTTCTCAGCAGAAACCTTACAGGCTAGGAGAGAGTGGAATGATATATTCAAAATACTGAAAGATAAAAACTGTCAGCCAAGAGTACTCTATCCAGTGAAATTCTCCTTCAGATATGATGGAGAAATAAAACCTTTCCCAGACAAACAAAAGCTGAAGGAGCTCATTGCCACTAGACCTGCCTTACAAGAAAGGCTGAAGGGAGCCCTTCTACCTGAAACAAAAAGGCAAAGGTTTACAAAGCTTTGAGCAAGGAGATAAATAGACAGACAAAATCAGAAAATTACAGCTTTATATCAGAATAAGTTAGCAAACATTTAGTTATAACATAAAGGATAAAGGGGAAAAAAGCATCAAAAATAACTAGAAGCACTTCAATTTGGTCACAAACTCACAACACAAAAATGAATAATTTGTGACAAAAAAACATTAAAAAGGAAGAGGAAAGGGATGGAACCTGCTTAGGCTAATAGAGTTAAGAGGCTATTAGAAAAATGGCTATCTCATCTATGAGATCTTTTATACAAATCTCATGGTAACCAAAAAACAAAAAATCAGAGCAGTGTCACAAATCATAAATAAAGAGAAAACTGAGAAAACCATCAGAGAAAACCACCAAAAGGAAATGGCAGACAGAAATACAAAGAAAAAGAAATAATGGAAATATAGAACAACCAGAAAACAAAAGATAAAATGGCAGTATTAAGCCCTCATATATCAAAAATCACTCCAAGTGTAGATGGATTGAATTCTCAAAAGACATAGAGTGGTTGGATGGATTAAAAAACAAGACCCAATAATATGCTGCCTCTGGGAAATGCATCTCAGCTCTAAAGACAAACATAGGCTCAGAGTGAAGGGATGGAAGATTATACTCTAAGCAAATGGCAAGCAAAAGAAGGTGGGTGTAGCCATACTCATCAGACAAAGCAGACTTCAAGATAAAAAAGATAATGAGAGAGACAAAGATGGGCACTATATAATGATAAAAGGTACATTCCACCAAGAAGACATCGCACTCGTTAAGATATATGCACCTAACTTGGGAACACCAAAGTATATAAAGCAACTATTAATAGAACTAAAGTGAGAAATTGACACCAGTACAATAGATAGATCATCCAGACAGAAAGTCAACAAGGAAACAGTGGCCTTAAATGAAACACTAGACCAGATGGACTTAATAGAGATATATAGAACATTGCATACAAAAACAGCAGATTACACATTCTTCTGAAGGGCACATGGAACATTCTCAAAGATAGACCATATGTTGGGAAACAAGGCAAGCATCAATTAATTAAGAAGATTGAAATCATATCAAGCCTCTTTTCCAACCACAATACTATCATACTAGAATCAACTACAAGATAAAGCTGGTCAAGTGACAAATATGTGGACTAAACAACATGCTAGTGAACAACCATTGGATCAATGAAGAAATCAAAGGAGAAATCAAAAAATACCTGGAGACAAATAAATGAAAACACAACATACCAATTTTTATGTGATGCAGCAAAAGCGGTACTAAGAGGGAAATTTATAGCAATATAGGCTTACCTCCACAAACAAGAAAAACCTCAACTAAGTAATCTTAAACTATGTCTAAAAGAACTAGAAAAAGAAGAACAAACAAAGCCCAAAGTCAGTAGAAGGAAGGGAATAATGAAAATCAGAGGAGAAATAAATGAAATAGAGACTAAAAAAACAACAGAAAGGTTCAATGAAACTAAGAGCTAGTTCTTGGAGAAGGTAAACAAAATTGACAAACCCTTAGCCAGACTCACTAAGAAAAAAAGAGAGAAGGCTCAAATGAAATCAAAAGTGAAAGAGGAGAAATTACAATGGACACCACAGAAATACAAAGGATGATAAGAGAATATTATGAAAAACTATCAACCAACAAACTGGCTCCTGGAGAAATGGATAAATTCTTAGAATCATACAACCTCCTAAAACTGAATCAAGAAGAAATAAAGAATCTGAATAGACCAATCACAAGTAAAGAGAGTGAAAGTTACCAACAATCTCCCAAAAAACAAAAGTCCAGGACCAGATGGCTTCCCTGGTGAATTCTACCAAACATTCAAAGAAGATTTAATTCCTGTCCTTCTCAAACTCTTCCAAAAAATTGAAGAGGAGGGCAAGCTTCCTAGCTCATTCTACAAAGCCAACATTACCCTGATACCAAAACCAGATGAGGACAACACAAAAAAAGAAAATTACAGGCCTATATTGCTGATGAACATAGATGCAAATATCCTGAACAAAATATTAGCAAATCAAATACAGCAATACATTAAAAGGATCATACACCAGGATCAAGTGGGATTTATACCAGGGATGCAGGGATGGTTCAACATTCACAAATCAATCAATGTGATACACCACATTAACAAATGAGGAACAAGAACCTCATGATCATCTCAATGGATGCATTTGACAAGATATGGCATCCATCAACGATAAAAACTCCGAATAAAATGGGTATAGAAGGAAAGTACCTCAACATAATAAAGGCCATATATGACAAGCCCACAGCCAACATCATACTCAATGGTGAAAAACTGAAAGCCATTCCTCTGAGAACAGGAACAAGACAAGGATGCCCACTCTTGCCACTCTTATTCAACATAATACTGGAGGTTTCGGCCAGAGCAATTAGCCAAGAAAAAGAAATAAAAGATATCCAAATTGGAAATGAAGAAGTGAAACTCTCACTATTTGTGGATGACATGATTTTATATATAGAAAAACCAAAACAATCCATCAAAAAACTATTAGTAAAGTTACAGGGTACAAAATCAACATGCAAAAATCAGTTGCATTTCTATACACTAATAACAAACTAGCAGAAAGTGAAGTCAAGATTACAATCCAATTTAAAATCACAACAAAAAGAATAAAATATCTATGAATAAATTGAACCGAGGTGAAAGACCTATACATCAAAAACTGTTAGATATTATTGACAGAAGTCGAAGAAAACATAAAGAAATGGAAAGATATTCCAGGTTCCTGGATTGGAAGAATAAGCATAGTTAAAATGTCCATATTACCTAAAGCAATCTACAGATTAAATGCAATCCCAATCAGAATACCAATGACATTCTTCATGGAAATAGAACAAAGAATCCTCATATTTGTATGGAACAACAAAAGACCCTGAACAGCTGAGGCAATCCTAAGAAAAAAGAACAAAGCTGGAGGCACCACAATCCTTGACTTCAAAATATACTACAAAGCTATAGTAATCAAAACAGCATGGTACTTGTACAAAAACAGACACTCAGATCAATGGAACATAATTGAAAGCCCAGAAATAAAACCACACATCTATGGACAACTGATCTTTGACAAAGGAGCCAAGAACATACAATGGGGAAAGGAAAGTCTCTTCAACAAATGGTGTTGGGAAAACTGGACAGCCACATGCAAAAGAATGAAAGCTGATCATTTTTTTACACCTTACACAACAATTAACTCAAAATGGATTAAAGACTTGAATGTAAGACCTGAAACCATAAAACTCCTAGAAGAAAACATAGATAGTACACTCTTTGATATTGGTCTTAGCAATATCTTTCGAAAAGCATGTCTACTCAGGCAAGGGAAACAAAAGAAAAAATAAACAAATAGGACTACATCAGACTACAAAGTTTCTGCAAGGCAAAGGAAACCAGGAAGAAAATGTAAAGACAGCTCACCAACTGGGAGAAAATATTTGCAAATCATATATCTGAAAAGGGGTTGATTTCCAAAATATATAAAGAATTCACCCAACTCAACAACAAAAGAAACAAATAATCTGATCAAAAAATGAGCAGAGGATATGAACAGACATTTTGCCAAAGAAGATATACAGATGTCCAACAAGCGCATGAAAAGATGTTCA